CAGAATCTGGTTGGGAGGCAGTTCGAGGAGGCACTCACGAAGCTTTACTGTCAGGCCAGCAGAGAAGACAGGCTGCCTCAGTTCCTCAGCAGCTGGCTGGCAAATGACTGTCAGCACCTCCTCAAAGAGCCGTGGGAACTGTCGCAGCTTGGAGTAAGTCTGAAACAGGGTGCTGATAAGAGCCTCCTGGGGCTTCTTTGTACGCAGCTCGGAGACCTCAGCATCAATCCAAGCTGAGGCCACTAAGTCATCCAGATCTGGCTCTACTATAAGGTGGTTTAATGACATCAAGAGTTTGAGACACCTGAACCAAGCAGGGATGGAAGCTTGTGAGTGACTCAGCAACACCTGTACTAGCTTGCGGTAAAACCCAAACTGTATCTCCTTGTGCCGGATACGGTCACTGGCAACATTATAGATATCATTGCTAAGCACCAGGTTCAGAAGCTGCTCCAAAGCAAGCAGCTCTGAGCTCCAGTCCGCGGGAGAGAGTGTATCCTCCCTCACACCCTGCTGCAGGCCAGAGAGCCTGAGACATCCAAAAAGCTTGCTGAGCATGTGGAAACACACAAGGTGGTTTTCTGCCTTACAGTACGAGTCCAGAAAAAGTTTATATAGCAGGGACACCGAAGCAGCCACAACAGCTCCATGGAGGGCAGGTTCACAAAAGCTACTGCCCAGCTTGGTCTGCACTGTGTTGACTGGTAGCAAAAGACTTTTCAAAGCTCCTTTCTTCTTCTCCTGGAGTTCCCGTTCTGGCAGTAGCTCCTCTTTGTAGGATGAGAAAAGCTCAGGTTGGAATAATCCAGCCTGCAGCAAAGTTTCTACTTGGTTTCGGATTTCCCTGCTCAGGTGCTGACGCACATGGTTGTCATCTGCCTGAGTCCAGCTCCTCGTAGTCAACAAGTGCCTCAGGAGCAGACATGGCTGGAGCAAGTGACTTGTCACTTGCCCAAACACACGATTTGGGTTGGTTTGCTGCCTCTGGATCAGGAGGTACTGAGCAAGGGTAAGTTGGAGGACACTGAACACCTGGGAGCCCACAGCATCATCAGAAGCCAGCTGCTGACATGCCAGCTTGGACAGCTTGCTGAGGAGATCAACCAAGAGCTCACACTTTGCTGTGTAAATGATGGAGAGGGAAGGAGTAGAAAGGATACCACTGGAGCAACTCAGCACTGTGCCAATGTTTTGCCATGGTTTTGGAGAACAGGCCTCTGATAACCTTTCATTTATGACCTGAAGATTTAAAAAAAATAAAACAAACAAAAAAAACCACAGTCAATTTTGTACACGAAGATAAAATCACAGAATTATTGAGGTTGGAAAAGACCTCTGAGACCATCACGTCCAGCCTATAAAAAGCTTCATAATGAACCAACACCACCTCCTGTGAGCTCAGGCTGCAAGAAGGAAGCAACAGGGACGTGCCAACAGCTGAGGAGGGGCTTCTCACATCATGGGGCTCAAGCTAGAAGCTCCTCTGGCCGTAACAGTGTCTCTGCACTTGTTTGTACCACAGGATGGCCAAGTAAGCCCTCCTTCAGGATGTGTGCTACAGGCAACAGAATAAAACTATCCATAATTGATCCTAATAGTTGATCCTGCAAACAGGAGGAAGGGTAAATTCCCTCCCTCCCTTCTTCCAAGGTCCTGTTATAAACAAACAACAACAAACTCACACCCAACACACATTCTACCTTTGATCCAGGCAACTTAAGTCAGTAAGAATGCCCACAACTAAAGATCATACTGATATTTTTAAAAGAGACAGTTTCCTTCTCTTTGAGGGATACAGAGTGCTAAAGAATTAACATTTACCTGAAATTGCAATTCCTTTCCTTTTCTCAAACTCTGTGGTGACTTCCCTATGGTTTTCACCTTTCAACCCCTTTTTATTTGGTCCCTTTTTCTCACCACCAGATAATCTTGTCAGGAAACAAATTCAGCAACAATTTACAAATCTTTCTCTATTACACAGTTAAAAATCCAGGCTGTCTCCTTATATCTCTTAGTGAACGGTTCATCTCCTCAGCTCAAGCTCCACTAGATGAAAACGGATCCTTAAATTTTTCCCACTGGATCTTCCACCACCTCTTAGTCTTTAGGGTACTCTGGCCTATACCTCTCATCTAATCTTCAGACAGAGAGGTTTTCACATCCAGACCACATCTAAATTTGGCACATTGCCTGTGTAACATCTCTGAAGCATAGATTTCATCCAACCAATTCTCTGTACTTCACAGCTCCATTTACTGCAGGTAAAGACAGTCTTCTCCTGCCTCCTTCCAACCAGCTCACAACGAAAAGTCTCATTTTTCCAGCTATTCTGGCTGCCTTTGCAGCCATCTACTAATTCTGCAGTTTCAGCAACCAGGAAGCTGAATAAGAAGTTAAATTTCCTGCTTCAGTTCTAAACTGTAACTGCACGTTCAGCCGAGGCTAAAATAATTACATTATTAAGATCAATACTGATTTGCTGTCACCATTGCTTAGTCATCATAAGAAGCTGCAGGATCTGCTGAACAGCAGCACATCACACTGCTCAAGTACTCGAGCCAAATGTGCTGATGAGCCCCACAGCGAGGGAAAACCTCTCTCTCTCTCTAGGACTCCCGGGCAAAATGGCAATATAAGCAGTAAATGATATAGAAGAACAACATATAGAACTGAGCCTTTACTTACCTATTGAAATACTTCAACCAGTTCACTCTCTGATAGTATGAAGAAGTTAAAAACAGATAGGTAGATTAACTGTCAGGTTATTGTTAGAATGCTCTGTTATTTTCAGCTTAGTGCTGAAAAAATACAAATTGTATGGCAGAACAGAAATAGAGGAGTCCTTATTAGAGGTCCTAAAAGCTACCAGATTAATTATTACATATTTCGTGTAACACGCTACACTGTGAGGAACAGTCACATCCTGTAGAAGATAAGCACTGCTATCCAGCATGCTACAAAATATCCAGAGTTTTACTTACCTGTGCAATTGAAAAACTGAGACCGACTGTCTTCCCACTCTTTAAGAGATTCTGTAGCCTCCTACTATGGATAATGTTGTCCAGATAAGCCCAGAGCTTCTCAACAACTTCATCCTCCAGTTCAAGTTTCTTATTGTGGTATGAAACCAACGTATGGCTTACCCAGTCAAGTAATACCTGTTAAGAAAAGAGAAGTCACCTTTAATGACCCCCAGACAAGAACAAGGCAAAAGTAGTACCTTTTCACAATTACAGCACCCGTGCCTTGAGGACATGCTCTACATCCATGCAGGTTCTGAGTGAGCACAGAAGTCCAGCTTGGTAGGTTTTAACCAAGGTCTAAATTCCTAAGAGCTTTCATTTTAAAGCCAATGCTGGCCCCCTTTTCCCCTGTACTGTCCCAAGACAGCTTTCAGGAGTCAGCATCCTAAGGCCAGGATATAATTCTGACAGTCAATACTGTCAGTAAATGTAGTCTTTTACATAAAAATTTAAAAGAATCAGATGGTGTTAACTTTCTGACAATTTATATTCCTTTCACATCCTCTTCTTTGTATGTTTAAATTCACTGCCTAGAAATTCAGGCCTAAGAATTCAGCCATGTGCAAATTGGAAAAGGTTGAAATCTACTGATTTCCATGGTGTACAGCTGGATTTAACTTTTTAAATAATTGAAATAACAGAAATACAGACCACTGATCTCAAATGGTGCAAAACCTAGACTCCACAAAATTACCAGGCTGGCGGAGTAGCACAAGCCACCCCTCACTCGTGGAAACACTGGACAGACCATCAGTAAACAGGGTCAAAACAGAAGATTTGGCAGGAGAAGGTGGGTTCCAAGCAGAGAACCGAGAAGCCCATGAACCCAGAGTTCCCTCTTTCCACGTGCATAAATGTAAAGCACCGGGAAACACACGTGTAGCTGCAGCCAGTTCTCCCGCCGTAAAGTTCTTAACTATGACCAGAAGCATCGGACTCTGGGGCACCCTGTACAGGATACGATGGACAACGCTAACGACAGCTCTGAAGACAATGGTTTCTCACCTCTCTGGGAGACAGAACACAGGCACTGCCCAAACAGAAGACTCTTCCTTCCTGCCCTAACACAGGCCCTTCTGCTGAAGCTGCTGGGAAGACGACGTTGTACAAACACTCCATGCAACTACACAGCAATCAAGGGCTGCCCACAATTCACTACCAGGTACAGATCTGCATTAATATATCTAGGGTGAAACCTTAGGCCGCTACATCTGGATTTCATGACTCACTTCAGCCTCAGCAACGATTAATCACTGCGATTTTTTTCATTTCTTTCTCCGCGCACCGCTAAGAAGCACTTACTTGCTCTTTATTAGGCAGGACGCACTGGTGGGAAACCCAGGCGAAACGGGCGAGCTTGAGTTTGTCTTCCCAGCAGGTCCTGCCGCTCTTCAGCTTCAGGTAGAT